AAAAAAAAAAAAAAAAAAAAAAAAAAAAAAAAAAAAATTTCTCTCCAACTACCTATATTGCCCCCCCCCCCACGAGATATAAAGGAAGCGTTGGGCACCCAACCAGATGGCAGGCTGCATCTGACACCTCGCACAGAGGCACAGTGGATTGGTGAGCCTCCCACCCCGGAATAGGACAGAATTCTGGCCAACGGGGGGGAGACTTATCCCCATTCTATTCTGGCAAATTGTAAGACCAGACTGAAAGTACATCACTACATATGTTTTTATCAACCTTGTTATATGGTTCATAATTATGTTATATTTTTGTTTATGTTTATGGTTTTCGGTTCACTATGCACGAGTGAAAGGTTAATCCTGATGCCCCAAAGAGACGGACGGAAGACAGAGACAGAAAGGGGGGGGACCAACAGAATCCTGACAGGTATGGACCCTCTGCCCCACACACACGAGCGCCCCATAAGACAAACCCAACCATGACGTTAAAAATTTTATCAATGAACGCGAAAGGACTAAACACTCCTACCAAACGCAGACTATTATTACGAGAATTAAAAGCAAAAAGGGCCGACATAGCGCTTATACAGGAGACGCACATTCCTAAAGCCGCACCAATCAAACTAGGAGACCGTCTCTACACCACAACACACGAAGCCAGGGCACCTCGCAAACAAGCAGGAGTAGCTATACTCCTACACAAACGCTGCCCATTTATAATGACCCATAAACAGATAGACCCAGAAGGCAGATTCGTAACCATAAGTGGCACCCACTATAACACTAAACTACATATCGTAAACTTATACGCACCCAACAACCCAGACAGGGCTTATTGGGACACCATAACATCCCTACTCGCCACCCTGCAAGGGGGCATCTTAATAGTGGGAGGTGACTTCAACGCTGTTCCCTGCCCAGCAATCGACCGCAGCTCCAAACCAGGGACACAAAGATCTCAAGGCAGGGGGGGACAAGATAAACTCCTATACTCCTTCCTCCAACACACTGGACTCCTGGATGCCTGGAGACTCCAACACCCAGACACAAGAGACTACACATATTACTCGGTGCCACACCACACATACTCTAGGATAGACAATATCCTCCTCAATGGAGCGGGTATGACTAAACTCATTCACTCAGAAATAAACAGCATCACGTGGTCGGACCACGCTGATGTAGCGGTTACGCTGGGGAACCTCCAACATCACAACGACTGGACATGGAGACTCAACACAACCCTACTTACCGACGAAACAATACTCACCACTACACGACAAAAAATCACAGACTATTTTAGTACCAACGACACAGAAGAAGTAAACCCAACAACACTCTGGGCGGCACACAAAACCGTACTGAGGGGACATCTCATACAGGCAGCCACTCATAAAAAACGGACACGAACAAAACACCTACTAGAATTACAAACCACTATGCGGAAACTCGAACAACAACATAAACAAAACCCCTCCCCCACCACATACGACAAACTCCAAAGCACACGACACGCAATCAGGGAGCACATGACAGCAGAAATAACACGTTCTATACTATGGTCACGGCGCAAGTTCTATGAAAAAGCCAATAAAATGGACACACTGCTAGCGCGTACACTCAGACCGAGACAGGGATATAAACCCATTACAACACTCCGTAATAAAGCCAACAAACTAGTCAACACCCCGAAAGAAATCAATAACGCTTTTACAGAATACTTCCAGCAACTGTATAACCTTGCACCAATGGAGGGGGAAGCCCAGACTCAACATCTTGCCCACATAGCTGACTTCCTAACCCACACTAACCTACCCAGGGTGACAACAGGAGAGGCCAACGCTCTAGAAACACCCATCACACCGGAGGAAGTAGCGGCCTCGATCTCCGCCCTGAAAGGGAACAAAGCACCAGGACCTGACGGTTACGATATGGGCTATTATAAAACATTTACGACAGAACTGATACCCCCCCTCACCAAACTATATAACCATTTCCTTCAGGGGGGAACTCCAGACCGAGATATGGCCACCGCCAACATTATCTTACTGCCCAAACCCAACAAGGACACCACACTTGCCACAAACTACAGACCCATCTCCCTCATCAACACCGACTTAAAGATATTCGCAAAGATATTGGCATCTAGACTAATCCCACTGTTACCCAAATTAATACACCCGGATCAGGTCGGCTTCATACCAGGACGCCAGTTATATGAAAATACACGCAGAGGGGTGGATCTGATCTGGCATATATCACACACTAGACAGCCTGCCCTTGTCCTCTCCCTAGACGCAGAAAAGGCCTTTGATAGGGTACAATGGCCTTTTCTGTTCACAGTACTTCAAACTCAGGGATTCCCGGAACCCTATATCACGGCAATAAAGGCCCTATACACAAACCTGCAAGCACAAACCATAATTTCAGGAGCGCCAAAATCCCCATTCCAAGTGAGCAATGGAACAAGACAGGGCTGCCCCCTATCACCACTCCTCTTTGCTCTAGTGCTAGAGCCCCTTCTACACCTCATACGAGCAAACCCAAACATAAAAGGAGTGCACTTGGGAGATGAACACTTCAAAGTAGCTGCATATGCAGATGATATACTCCTAACACTCACGGACCCAACCCAATCAATGGCAAATTTAGAAAAGCTACTGCAGACATACGGTGAAGTATCAGGATACAAAGTTAACTTAACCAAATCTACGGCACTGACATTCCATATACCTGACCGGGAGGTACAACACCTCAGACACACCTATCATATCAAAACCAACACAGACACACTCACGTATCTAGGCGTCAAACTCACAGCAGATCACAGCACACTATTTAAACATAATTACACTCCACTGATCACAAAACTCAAGACGGATTTAGAAACTTGGACAGACAAACCCATCACATGGCTAGGTCGCCTACATTCCATAAAAATGAACATATTGCCAAGACTGCTGTTCCTATTCCAGGCGCTCCCGACTCGAGTGACCAAGAGTGACCTAGCTGGCCTACAACAAGCGATAGACGCCTTTATCTGGCAGAGAAAGCGGCCAAGAATAGCCAAAAAAATACTGTATAATCCCAAGGGGAGAGGCGGCCTGGGTATGCCCCACATTCACCATTACTATACCGCAGCCCAAGTTGCCCAAATAGCTCACTGGCACTGCCCCAAAAATCAACGCCGTTGGGTTGACATAGAATCCCACATGACAGGAGCAGACCTCCCGCAATTCCTCATATGGACACCGAAGCATCATAGAACAATCTTACGGACAGACTGCCCAGCCATCCTAAACTCCATTAGCTTATGGGACCAGATCGCGCAGAAATTCAAACTCACACACCTCCCGTCCCCAATGACCCCGGTACTACGTAACAGAGCATTCCCACCGGGTCTAAGGGCACGAGACTTCAAAGGCATCGAAGCCACGAACCTACAACGCTATATCCACCTATACGTAGATAACCAACTAGTGACATACCAACACTTACAAACCTTAGCCCCATTGCAAACCCGCGACTTCTTCCGATATATACAAATACGGGACTTCGCGCAAACCAATGAGGTTAAAATGGCAATTGCCAAGCCTCTAACTTTCTTTGAGCAAATATGCCTCAAAGAAAGCATGCCAGCGAAACTAATCTCTCTGCTCTACAACCACATATGCCTAGAATCAGGCACGTGGGGCCCGCAGACATACACAGACAAATGGGAAGCGGATTTGGGGGAAACACTGGAGGGAACGGAGTGGCAAGACATATGGGAGGCGAACACGAAAGTGTCTATATGCACGACCCTACAGGAGCAATCATATAAAATAATGCTTCGGTGGTATACAACACCAGTCAAGCAACAACACATGCAACTCTGTCCCACCGATACCTGCTGGCGATTATGTGGAGAAAAAGGCACATACATCCACATGTGGTGGCAGTGTACTAAAGTAAAGGAGTTTTGGGAAAAGATAGTGGCCATGCACACTAAAATCCTACACCGACAAATAACATTGGACCCCTGGGCATGTCTATTATCACGACCGACAAACGGACTAGACAAACACGACCAAAAACTTCTGAATATGCTCAATCTAGCAGCTCGTAGGGCACTGGCACAATACTGGATAAAACCAGAGACACCCCCACTTTCATTAGTAATTTCCAAAATCAGAGATAATTACTTAATGGACAAGATGACAGCTACCGTTCAGAACACTACCACCAAATTTCAAAAGGTATGGGCCCTTTGGGAACAATATGAGGAAGAATCATAGGACAAATGAGCACCCAATCACAGACCGCTACTCACTCGTGCAGATTTAAGATTTAGGATTTAACACCTACGTTCACTCGATCGTTTTGCTTGTATATATGTTTTTCTTTGTGTACACAACAATTAAAAAAAAAAAACCTTTGACAGGCGAAAGCTAAACGACAACAGCCTCTACGCAACCCACATGCAACAAGTCTAAAATGTATGTTATGTATACTAACAACCCAGTCTTTTTCTGTACCATGTCTAAAACATACTTGAAAAGATGGGCTTCTGCTTAAGCCAAAAATGCACTTACCTACAATGTCTGTCAATGCAAAAATAAAGAATTGAAAAAAAAAAAAAGAAAACGCTTCAAATGCACCTCACCTCGGCCACCATGCAGGAGATGGCGGGACAAGATGGCGCCGACGGCCCGAGCTCACCAACCTCCGTTTCGGAAGTAAGTGACCCTGCTCACAGCATGGCTGACTACTCTGCCCCAGTTACAACAGCTACACTAAAATCCTTACTTGCAGACCTAAAATCCACCTTCCACACAGAACTCATGCAAATAGCTTCAGACATCAGGTCAGATATCCAACAAGTGGGGGACAGAACTGCAAAGTTAGAAGAAAGGGCAGACGAAATAACAGACGCCCATAACACTCTGGCAGAAGCCTATACTGAACTGCAAGACAAGCTTAAAAGGCTAGAAGACAAAGTGGCCGACCATGAAGATAGGGATCGGCGTAATAATATTAGGCTGAGGGGGATTCCGGAATCAGTAACACCTCAAGAGCTGCAATCCTACGTACAGGACATTTTTAAAAAGATACAGCTAAAGGAATTTTTTATTTATCTGGCCTATCACTTTCCGATTCAGAAATACAAGTATTGGAAAAAGGTGTGAAATTTGCCCCAAAGAAAGGAATGAATGATTTTGATTAATATAGACTTTAATATCGACATATTTATACATTGTCTTATGTGGTATCTATCTGGAAAGGCTGCCCTGTGAAGCTGTTGCTTTATAAGTTAAGTTGTTTTTAATTTTTGTTTTGGTTGCTTTACTTAGCACGCTTTTGGTGTTTGGTAACTTCCTGTCAGACCTTGTAGAGGGTTGAGAAGATCTTCTACCATGGTCTGCACAGCCACGGCACATGGTAAGGGAAGAGACCACAACGGGATGGGGAGTGGAAGAGACCCACACAAAAGAGGCTGAGGAAAGGGAGGCCAACAGATGGGCTGGGGAAGGGGGGGAAGACACATAGAGGAGCTGGGAAGGAGACAAAGACACACAGAGGAGCTGTGGGGAGAAATAGATACACAGAGAGGATGGGGAAAAAGAGACACACATAGGTACTGGGAGGGAAGAGACACACACAGAGGGGCTAGGGAGAGAAAGAGAAACACACTGAGGGGCTGGGGAAGAAAGAGATACATGGCAGGGCTGATAGGGAAAGACACACAGAGGAGCTGGGGAGGGAGAAACAGAGAGGGGCTGGAGTGGGAGAAAGAGACACACATAGAGGCGTGGGGGAAGGGACACACAAAAGGGACAAGGGGAAAAAGAGACACAAAGAGGAGCTGGTGAAGGGGAAAAAGAGAAATATAGATGGACTGGGGCCAGAGACAAGGTGCTGGGGGAAAGAGACACACAGGTTAAAGGGAAGAAAAAGACACACAAAACAGACTTGGGGAGAAAGAAACAGATGGGTTATGGGGTGAGAATGACACTTGGGGAGAAAAAGATACACTGAGGAGCTGGGGGTATAAAGAGACACACAAGGGGGCTGGGAGGATAAAGAAACACAAAGTGGCAGGGGAAGGGGAGAAAGAGGCACACAGAGGGGTTGTGGGGAAGCGCAGGGGGGAATGAGACACACAAAGGGACCTTGGGGAGAAAGAGATACAAAGAGGGCATGGGGGGAGAAAGAGCACACAGAGAAGCAAGGAAATGGGGAAAAAGAGAAACAGTGAGGGTCTGGGAAGGGGAGATACACAAAGAGGCTGGGGCAAAGAGACAAACAAAAGTGGCTTGGGGAGGAAAAGATACACAGAGGGGCTAGAGTAGGGGAAAAATAAGTGTACAAAGGAGGTAAGAAATTCAAAAGGGGTTTAATAGAAAAATAGGAGAAAATGCATTTTGTAGGGGGGTGGCAAAATAATTAGGAGTGTATTTTGTAACAGTCCCCTCTCAGGTCCAGTGGGAAAATGCCACTGGAATATGTTACATGAGACCCCTTGCATGGGGACACACATAAACATAGAATGTGACGGCAGATAAGAACCATTTGGCCCATCTAGTCTGCCCAATTTTCTAAATACTTTCATTAGTCCCTAGCCTTATCTTATAGTTAGGATAGCCTTATGCCTATCCCACACATGCTTAAACTCCTTTACTGTGTTAACCTCTACCACTTCAGCTGGAAGGCTATTCCATGCATCCACTACCCTCTCAGTAAAGTAATACTTCCTGATATTATTTTTAAACCTTTGTCCCTCTAATTAACCACTCGGCCACCTTGTCTGACAAATACAGCTTTCAAATTGAGGACTCGATGTTAGTCATGATTCTGAAAACATGTGATCATTCAAGATTTTTTAAAGGGGGCACCAGGATATGAACCTGAGACTCTACCACTGAGCTATACCCCCAATCTTTACATAAACAGTTGTGTGTGGCTCCCATTAAACCAGTTAACTCCCAGAACTGTGTGTTGGCCAGTTACTGGGGGATTGGGATTATTCTGCTAAACTGTGCGTTCTTTCGTGCTCTACAGAATACCAGTGGAGAGATTGATTTTATTACTGCAGCTCCGGTACAATGTTGTTGCATTAAATCTGGCGAAGTATGTGTAGTGTAACAAACACTGACGGTTATCACTAAACAGCTAATGACAGTGAATAGAACTGATTACAAACTTCAGGCTAAAATAGTCAAACTGAAACTATTATTAAGTTGGATAATTTTTCAAATCGGCTATTTTGGCCTAACTTTTATATTTTTGTTTCTAAACAAATCTAAAGAGAAGCAAATTTTTTTGTAGCAGTGCCAAATTAAAAATAATTTCTTCTTGAATCATTGACGACATCTAGTGGCATGATGAAATATTGCATGATATTTTCTGGAAAAAAACCTTCAGAATATAAAATACACTTCTGTCAATGTGTTATTTTGATTGGCCAGAATCGTCTAGCCAGTAACATTAACTGAGGATTTACGATCTCATATCAGATATTTATTGACACATTAGTGTGATACCTTTTAACAACAATTTACCATTAAGAAATTGGTTAAACAGGGCCGTATACAGGGGGCGGAGCCTGGCAGCCAAGCAGCCCAGACGTGTTCAGCACAAGCTCCCACGTCTGGGGATGAAAAACGGGGTGTATCACCCAGAAATTGGCACCTACGGGCCCCAGCTTATCCAAATTAAACCCGGGGGAGGCTGCTGCACCAGACGGTACCTCTCCCGAACTTCTACGACATCGGAACGACCAAACGAGGCTTGCGGCCTACCAAGGGCTGAGCCCGGGAGAGGTGGCCGCTCTCCGGGATCTCAAGCAGAAGGTGGGCACCCTGAGCAGCACTCCCCCCCACCCCCTTGGACTGACAGGTGTCATCCCGGTCCGCATTAAGCAAAGGCATCCAAGAGTAACCTGCCCAGACCCATTATGCTTTAGCCACATACAAGCCTAATCGAATGTATGACTCTCTACTGTAGTTTTAACGCAAATTCCCTCGTTTTACAGCACTCAAACCTACACCAGTGTTATTAAACTCTCGCAGCTGGTTTAGCCTGGGTTGAACCCGCGATTAGCTGTCCACCATTAGGTACCAGAATTGATTCATGTCTAACTGTGAATGCCACGAAATAAGCTATGATTAACAGATACTACCTGCTACTAATCTATGTTGAACACGACTTCATCTCCTAACAAAAAATTGTGCAAGTACTGATGTATACTCCTTTGTTACTAATGTTTGCAAAGCATGAGGATTGCCTTTGGGGTACCCCGTGCACGTATGTTATTCCATATGCACTGCAAAAAATTTTTTAAAAGGCTGTATACTTTATGTTATAAGAACACTCCAACATTAAATATATATATTAAAGTGTTCCTTTAAATCTGAGTATAGTTCTGCCTTTAAAATTAAAAACTAAAAAAGCTGTTGTTACTCAACTTTAACCTCTTCACTTCACAGACTCCATTATAAATGTTTTGTTTTTTTAATTTTCTGTAAATTGCAGAACAAAATGTATTCCATATAGCCTCACTTAACCTCATAGGCATCAATGGTTGCTTTGCGGCATTGTGTGTTGTTTCTTTTTAATTTGGCCTTTTTTTGAGGCTGAAAAAAGAAGACTTCAGATGTAAAGTATATAACTATTTCAAGACAGGGTTCACCTAACTTAAGGGCCGCTAGAGAATTAAGGACCCCTAGGCACCAGGGTGAATGATAATCACCCAGGGGGAAAGGCAGTTTTGGGGAACAGCACAGACAAAGGCATGTCACCCATTGTATAACTTTGTAGAGTTCCCCCTCCCACCGTCTATGAGAGGTGGGAAGGGGACACTGAGTCTCCCTCAGAATATTATGAGTTAGAGCACCCATCCAACATCCACAGATGGGCACTTGGAGGGGGGACCATGTCAGGACATTAGGTCCATTTGGTTATTGTATGATGGCCATATACTATATCTCCCTGGTAAAAGTGTAATATCCCCCCACGTGCTGACCACCACATTAGAAGCCCCCTCCCAATTTTCTTCTATTAAATAGCCCCCACCCACAGGCTATGCTGGCAAAAAGCAAGTGAATGATAATGATTTGTAAATGTGCATGCTGGCAGATGCATTTGGTCCCAAGTTGTAGTAAAACTGTTACTTTGTGAATCTTCCATTTTATATTTTGTATAGGATTCAAAAACCCTTGTTGCAACTACTTGTACTTGTGCCTATTGTACAGTGCTGTGGAATTTGTTGGTGCTTTATAATACTACTAATAATAATATTCTGGGAGGTTTATGTCCAGGATTGATTTTGTTTATATATTTTGCAAGGAACATGTCCAGACCTGTCCTCACTCAACATGATCTGAATGAACATGTTTAAAATCACACTCTAAGTACAGATACTTGGACAATGTTAATATTTAAGTATGCTGTATAGGAGAAATATTAACCTTTTTTCCAAAACACAGTTGTAGAGGCCGTCAGACAGAATGACACCAGAGCTGTTTTCTCCTTAAGCACGGATCCCACCAAAATTGGCAAATTGAAATGTCTTGGACATATTTTTTGTTATTATGGCATACATTTTTAAAATCACTTTAAATTAATTTTGCATTCACAGCAAATAACCCTGATTGTGACCAAATTCAAAGTATTATATAAACCATACCTTCCAAGTGTCCCTATTTAGAAAGGACAGTCCCTATTATGAGCCCAAATCCCTCTATCCCACTTTTCTATCCTAATGTCCCTCTTTTCTCAGACCTCCATATTGTTGGTATGCCTGGCTGTATAACAGAGCTCCACAGCAATAATACTCCCAGTAATGTGGCTGAGTGTATAACAGAGCTCCACAGTAATAATACTCCCAGTAATGTGGCTGAGTGTATAACAGAGCTCCACAGCAATAATACTCCCAGTAATGTGGCTGAGTGTATAACAAAGCTCCACAGCTATAATACTCCCAGTAATGTGTCTGAGTGTATAACAGAGCTCCACAGCAATAATACTCCCAGTAATGTGTCTGAGTGTATAACAGAGCTCCACAGCAATAATACTCCCAGTAATGTGTCTGAGTGTATAACAGAGCTCACAGCAATAATACTCCCAGTAATGTGTCTGGGTGTATAACAGAGCTCCACAGCAATAATACTCCCAGTAATGTGTCTGAGTGTATAACAGAGCCCACAGCAATAATACTCCCAGTAATGTGTCTGAGTGTATAACAGAGCTCCACAGCAATAATACTCCCAGTAATGCGGCTGAGTGTATAACAGAGCTCCACAGCAATAATAAAAACTACCATAAATGTGTTTAGAAATCAGTCTGACTTCTTGTTTTAAATTTCATTTTATTTGCTTAAATTGTTATTAGTAAATCATGTGAAATAATTTCTCAGACCAACCTCAATCCTGGCCACACCCCACTTACGCCCTAAAAATTAAAGTTTCCCTCTTTGCTCCACACCATAATCCCCCCAAAACCCTTGCCCGCTACACTACCACCTACCTGCGTATTACATATCTCTCAGTGATATGATTATTGCCATTTACAAATATAAAAGTTGGCAAGATAATTTTGGATACATGAGAATTACCTTAGGAGTGGAGATTCCTGCTCCAAAGAGCTTACAATCTAAATATAAATTTACAAAGTACAACGGTGACATTTATTTGGCCATTTTTATTGCTGGTATTACTACTTCAGATAAATCACTATCTGTCTGGGTGGATGATTTTCTGCTACCTGCTGTTTGAGCTGGGAAATTCCCTCACACTAGACATGTGCTGACATGTATTTTGTATGTAATGACCCTATAGAGCAAATCACCCTGCTCTGTCATTACACTGCCCTGCAAGCCTTCAGTAACACCAGCACTGGGGACCAAGATACACTACATTCCACTGAAACATGCCACCCCTTAATGTAAGTATTCTGCTATTCTTCTTAAAGCTGAACAGTCTGGTTTATAAAATATTATTATGTACATACGTACTCTAATTCCATCCCAAAACCTAGATGTGTACACTCTCACTTACAGGGTTATCCTCTGTGGTGGCAATTCAAAGTGAATTTCAAGTCTAAGTTTTACTGAATAACCGTATTTAAAATAAATATGGAAGATGAGATGTACAGATCAGAAAGAATTGAGCTCAGCTGTTTAGTGTTGTTTTGTTTTAGTTTTTTAATTCTGTCCTTTTTTTAATATTGAAGGAATATCAGATCTCAAAAAGAGCTTAACGTCTTTATTTTACACGGTAACAAAACTGAAAAAAATTCACGTACTGGGTGTATAATGGGATAATGGCAAACTGTCCCCATTGATAGATAAAAATGATGCAGAATTTATATTACACAGCAGCTGGTGCATCTTAGTGACTGCATTTCTTGTTGAGGTAGTATAAACAAAAAAAAATAATTACTCTTTATTCTCACATAGTTTGGTACAAATGTCTTAGTTTAACAGTCTGTTATTTCTTGGTAACAAAATGTCTGTGATTTTAAAAATAGATTTAAAAAACTCAGGTTACTTCCTGCGCTGGGTCAGCCGCCATGGAGCACCTTCTACGGCACTGGTGAGGTTATCATAATGATGACTTTTGTCCATTGAGGACGTAGGGGCATGCAAGCTATGTATCTGGGTGCAATCCAATGCTGAATGTATAACAAAGAAGAAAAAGATGATCTCCGTGGGAACAGAATACTTTTAGTGTGGATTACGATGACATTATAAAACGTTAATCCTGTCATTTTATTGTGATCTACATTACAAGCAACTTGCTTCCACATTCCACAAGACCTGTGAGGGCACAGCATTTTTCTCATAGATATAAAATTTATAAAATTGACTTTCTCACCCTTCCGGGTGGTATGTTTTTTGTATCTACCAGACTCCGCCGCCGCACACATAGCTTCCAACATTTGAAAAAAATTTCCAGGGACACTTTGCAGAACAGCTATCAATTACTACCTTGAAAATTTACCCCACCCACTGCCGCAAAGCTCCGCCCACTATGTCCAACGCACATAATTATTCTCCGCCTACAGGGCCGCCATCAGGGGGTGACAACCGTAAGGGCCCGGTCAGCGCTGTGGCCGTGGTATAGCGTGACCGGGTCCCTTTAAAAAAAAAGTGGTCACTTCCTCCCAGCTCACTCCCCACGGGAGGAGCGCGCGCGCCAGTGAAGAGGGAGAGCCAGGCAGTGAAGAGGGAGCCACACCGACTCCCATCATCCCCAGTCACCCTCCTGCAAAGAAAAGGTAAGAGACAGTAGGGTGGCTGGAAAATGAGCTGTGTGTGTGTCTGCATGCATGTACAGGGGCGTTTTAGCCGCGAGGAAAACAAGGCATTTGCCTTGGGCGGCATTTTCCAGGGGGCGGCAAAAAAACGCTCCCCAAATGCCCAGGGCAAATGCCTAGTTAGCCTCGCGGCTAACTGACATGCCGGGCGCTGGGCGGCGCTGGCTGATGGTCGGGCAGGCGGCTGGCGAGGGAGCTCTTCCTCTGAGCGGTCTGCTCAGCTCCCTCACGCGCCGCAGAGTGAGGCTGGGAGCCGGAATATGACGTCATCAACCCGGCTCCCAGCCTCGTCTGCGGCGCGCGAGGGAGCTGAGCAGTCAGCTCAGAGGAAGTGCTCCCTCACCAGCCGCGCGCCGGACCATCAGCCAGCGCCGCCCGCCAGCCACTGGACCCCAGGGAGAGAGGGAACCCCCCCAGCATTCCCAAAGGTAAGGAGGCTGGGGGGGGGGCTTAAAAAAAATGTTAATGTGAGTGAGTGTGTGTATGTCTGTTAGTGAGTGTGTCTGTTAGTGTGTGTGTGAGTATCTGTTAGTGTGTGAGTTTTTGTGTCTGTTTGTGTGTGAGTGTGTGAGTATCTGTTAGTGTGTGAGTGTGTGTGTGTGT